AAGATACAGACTAACAGAACAGGTACAAAAACAGGATTTATTCTTCTGCTGCATACAAGAAACACACCTTAACATTAAAGATAGACCCTCAGAGTAAAGGGCTGGAAAAAGATTTTCCAAACAAATGAACCTAAGAAGCAAGCTGGTGATGCTATCTTAGTATCTAACAAAATAAGACTTCAAACCAACATTAATTAACAGATGTAGAAGAAATTTCATACTCAAAGGAAAAATTCATCAAGATGGTGTCTCAATTCTGAACATCTATGCCCCAAATGTATTTTTGGGGAACCCACATTTATAAAGGAAACATTGCTAAAGCTTAAATCACACATCAAACCCTACACATTAATAGTCGGAGACTTCAACATCCCACTGTCACCAATGGACAGGCTGTCTAGACAGAAATTAAACAGAGAAATAACAGACATCATGACTAAAATGGACTTACTTAATAGACATATACAGAATGTTTCATCCAAACACCAAAGAATATTCCTTTTAGCACCTCCTGGAAACTTCTCCAAAACTGACCACATACTTGGTCACAAAGTCTCAATACATACCAAAAAATTGGAATAACTCCCTGTATCTTATTGGATCACCATGAGTTAGTGTTCAACAATACAAACTTCAGAAAGCCTAAAAACTCGTGGAAACTGAACAGCTCTCAAATGAACCACCACTAGGTCAAGGAAGAAATAAAAAAAATAAAGACTTCCTTGAATTCAATGAAAATGAATGTACAACATACCCAAACTTGTGGGACAGAGTGAAAACGGCATCTAAAAGGAAAGTTTCCTTTTTCTAAAAAGAAAGTTCATGGTGAAAAGTGCCTGCATAAAGAATTAGTAGAAATCTGATACTAGCTACTTAATACCATACCTGAAAGTTCTAGAACAAAAAGAAGCAAACACACACAAGATGAGTAGACACGAGGAAAAAAAAAAAAATGAAACCGAGGGCTGAAATCAATAAAACAGAAACAGAATACAAAGACTCAATGAAGCAAAGAGTTGGTTCTTTGAGAAAATCAAAGAAAAAATGGAACTGAGGGCTAAAGTCAATAAAATAGAAACAGAATACAAAGAATCAATTGAACAAAGAGTTGGTTCTTTGAGAAAAATCAACAAAATAGATAAACCCTTATCCAAACTAAAAGGCAGACAGAGAATATCTTAAATTAGCAAAAATCAGAAATGAAAAGGGGAACAAAACAACAGACACTGAGGAAATTCAGAGAATTACTAGGTCATACTTCAAAATTCTGGACTCCACAAATTTCTTGATAGATATCACACACGAAAATTAAATCAAGATCATATAAACAATTTAAATACATCTATAACCCCTAAGGAAATAGAAGCAATCATTAAAAGTCTCCCAACCAAGAAAAGCCCAGGGTCAGATGGTTTTAGCACATAATTCTAACAGACCTTCAAATAAGTATTCTACAATAGAAATAGAAGGAATATTCCAAATTCTTTTTATGAGGCCACAGTCACCCTGATACCCAACCACATAAAGCCTAAATAAAAAGAATGACAGACCAATTTCCCTCATGAACACCGATGCAAAAATACTCAATAAAATACCCGCAAACAGAATCTAAGAACACATATAACACTTGAAGTTCTAGCTAGAGAAATAAAACTAAAGGAGAAACAAATTGGAAAGGAAGAAATCAACGTATTATTATTCACAGATGATATGATCGTATACATAAGCAATCCCAAAAATTCTATCAGGGAGCTAGTGAAGTAGCTAGATACAAGATTAACTAACAACAACAACAACAACAAAATGAGTAGCCCTCCTATATACAAGTGATAAATGGGCAGAGAAAGAAATCTTGGCAATAACACCTTTCACAATAGCTACAAATATATCTTGGGGATAACTCTAACCAAGCAAATGAAAGACAAGAACTTCAAGTCTTTGAGGAAAGAAATTGGAGACAATATCAGAAGACAGAATAATCTCCCATTCTAAGGGATCGATAAAATTAGCACAGTAAAAATGGCCACCTTACCTAAAGCAATGCACTGATTCAATGCAATCCTATCAAAATCCCATTACAATTCTTTACAGACCTTGAAAGAACAATACTCAACTTCATATGGAAAAATAAAAAGTAAAGGACAGCTAAAAAAATTCTGTACAAAACAAGATCTTCCAGATACAATACAAATCACCATCCCTGATTTCAAGCTCTACTACAGAGCTACAGTAATAAAAACTGTATAGGCAGAAAAACAGACACGTTGATCAATGGAATTGAATTCAAGGCTCAGATGTAAACCCACATACCTACAGACACCTGATCTTCAACAAAGAAGCCAAAATTATACAATGGAAAAAAGAAAGCATCTTCAGCAAATGATGCTGGAATAACTAGATGCTGACATATAGAATGCAAATAGATCCATTTCTACCATCCTGTACAAAATGCAGTCCAAGTGGACCAAACACTTCAACATAAATCTAGTTACACTGAAGTGGAAAATAGCCTTGAATATATTGGCAAAGGAGACAGCTTCCTGAATAGAACACCAAATAGCACAGACACTAAGACTGATAATTAATAAATGGAACTTCATGAAACTGAAAAGCTTCTGTAAGGCAAAGGATACTGTCAATAGGACAAAACGGTGGCCTACAGAATGGGAAAAGATCTTCACCAACCCGACATCCAACAGAGGGCTGTTTTCCAAAATATATAAAGAACTCAAGAAATCAGATATCAACAAACCAAATAATCCAATTTAAAAAACGGGGTACAGATTTAAACAGAGTTCTCAACAGAGGAATCTCAAGTAATTGAGAAATACAAAGAAATGTTCAATATTCTTAGCCATGATGAGATTACATCTTACCCCTGTCAGAATGGCTAAGATTAAAAAAACAAATGATAGCTTATGCTGAAGAGAATGTGGAGCAGAGGAACACTCCTTCATTGCTGGTTAGGTAGTGCAAATTTGTACATGAAGGCTCAGGTTGGGGGTGGATGGAAGGGGAGAGTACTGGAAGAGATGACTGGGAAGGGTGTACATTGTGAGGTTAGATAGAAATCTGGTGCAATGAAAATGCCCAGCAATCTACAAACGTGATCCCAGCTAAGAGTCCTGGCAACAGTGGACACATGGCATGAAGTGGCCATCTCCTGTGACCAGGTTGGTGACTATCCCAATTGTCAGAGAGCCTTCATCTAGTAACTGATGGAAACAGATGCAGAGACCCACAGTCAAACAGGGGGAGGCTGGGGAATCCTGAGGAAGAGAGGGAAGGATTGTAGGAGCCAGCGGGCTCAGGACATTGTAACAAAACCCACAAAAACAACTAACCTGAGCTCATAGGTGCTCACAGGGTCTGAACCGACAACCAGAAGTCTGCATGGGACTGACCTAGGCACTCTGCATATATATTATAGGTGTATAGATTGGTCTTCTTATGGAACTCCTAGCAGTGGGAATAGGGGCTGTCTCTGACTCTTCTGCCGGCTTTTGAAACCCTATTCCTCTTACTATGTTGCCTTGTCTAGCCTTAATACACAGGGAGGTGTTTATTCTTACTACAACTTGATATGACGTATGTGGCTGATATCCATGGGAGGCCTGCCCTCTCTGAAAAGAAGCAGAGGAGTGGAATAGGGGGTGGGAGGTGGAGGAGAAATGAAAGAGGGATTGGGAGGAGAGGAGGAAAAGAAAACTGTGGTTGGGATATAAAAGAATAAATTTAATTTAAAAATAAAATATTATGAAAAAACAATCCACATTTACTGGGAACAGAGTAAGGAACATAGTAAGTTCTCAGTTGGAGTCATTCCTGGCAGGGTTAACAAACTAGAACGGAACTTATGGCAGTTAACATTTATGAACCTAAATGGTAGAAAACCCTGGGGGTACAACACTTTTAACCTCCAGGATCCTTACCATATTTCAGGGTAAAGCTAATACAAAAGCCAGTGCCTACTTCTGTCAAGGGGAGGGGAGAAGAGTTATTTGAAATACTCTCAAGTTCAAAAAATTCCCATTCTCCTCTATGGATGCCTATTCTCAAAGAAGGTAATTTTACAAAACCCTAATTTATCACCTGTAGTCCCCTCTTGACTTCCTCTCACCCAAAGAATACTGGTGGTAAGTTGACTAAGAAGCACTTATGAAGGTCATAGTCAAGAGTCACTTAAAAAAAAAAGACACCTAGAGACAAGATCACATATAACCCTGCATAAAAACAACCAACCAAAACCAATACAAAGTCATCATGGGCTAATAAAGTAGCTAATTGGTACAGTAGTACTTGTTTAGTATCTACCGGTCCTATCCTCAACATGGTGATGTGCAAAAAACAAATGAAATTAGCTGTTGATTATTTTGACTATTATGCTACTGGGATAGTCATCTATGCAAAATAACTTTGAGCCACAGGAAATATTTCTAGTGGGCTGAGTCTCAAAGCTCTTACACTTGAAATGACCCAAGTGAAAATAGGTTGGAAAAAAAACAGACACATCTTAAATTGAGTAAGAAAAATATTCCAGACACAGTAAAATAAAAGGACTAGATTTATTGATCTGTTGTCAAGAGTTGGAAAGTCAACATAAACTACTGCATCAATAGTTTCACATACTGGAGAAATGGCATTCTGATTACACTAAGTGGGAGAAACAACTAAACCCTGAAGTTGACCAGACTTATAAGATCAGATGAAAGCTGGGTGGTGATAGTGCATGCCTTTCATACCAGCACTTGAGAAGTAGAGGCAGGAGGATCTCTTGAGTTCGAGGCCAGTCTTGTCTACAGAACGAGTTCTAGGGCAGCCAGGGCTAAGCAGAGAAACTCCAACTTAAAATAAAACAAAACACTCCTGATCAAACGTTTTATTTTTTTTGTGGTGGTTTTCAAATGCATTAAGACTCTTATTTAAGTTAGGTCTATTAGGAAAACGAGTATAAATGCTTACTTTATGTTTATAAATATTATTCAATAGAGTGAAAATACCTGTTTTTTCTTACGTCCGTGTTTTTCATTAGTGTCTGGCAAATCCCCTGAAATACATAAACTATTGTGTCCACTGGTTCTTCTGTTTCCTTCTGTCGTTATTTCACCTATGAATAAAAACTTATGAATAGCTTGATGGTGGTGGTGCACGCCTTTAATCCCAGCACTTGGGAGGCAGAAGCAGGCAGATCTCTGAGTTTGAGGCCAGCTTGGTCTATAAGAGCTAGTTCCAGGACAGGCACCAAAGCTACACAGAGAAACCCTATCTCGAAAAAACAAACAAACAAACAAACAAACAACTATGAACATTAAATACTGCTTTACATTAGAGAAAGGGTGAACTTTCCAAAGATTACCATGAAATTCCTGTTTACTTTAGCTACTCTAAGAAACAGAGCTCTATAATATGTTTAATTCTTTTTCCTTCAAATCTGGAAGGAACATTAAGTCTAGAACTACATTTGACTACCAGAAGTGTTCTCACCGCCAGAAACATATTCCATCGCTTGCATAAAAAAGGAAAAATACTTTTGGTATAGGATCACTGAAATCTTTTTATGATTTTTAATAACAGAATATTCTTCTCAGATATACATCAACAATAATCACCAAGACAGACCAACAGTAGGATGTACCATTAAAAAAAAATCCTTTAAGGGACTGGTAAGACAATTCAGGCAGTAAGTTCTTAGTGTACAGTCTGGTTCCCCGAGTTCTATCCTGGTGGAAGGAGAGAACCAACTTCTGAAAGCTGTCCTCTGACAACTGGCACATGGGAGGCAACGGTGAGAGGACGATTGCTGCAAGCTCATGGCCAGCTTAGGACACAGGTACTTTTTGTCTACTACAAACTATTCTCAGACCATAACAGAAGTAAACAGAATTAAACATCTGCAAGCTCATGGCCAGCTTAGGACACAGGTACTTTTTGTCTACTACAAACTATTCTCAGACCACAACAGAATTTAAACAGGAAGTCAACAATAGAAAAAAAGGTACTTAGAACAACCTTCAATTAGTTGAAGATTAAATAATCAAGTACAAAGTGAAATATCACTTTAATTAAATGGAAATCCAAAACTAAAGCACTAACTAAGGAGGGATTTCTAGCACTGAGCACATGTCCTAGGAAATCTAGTCAGGTAAAAGAGAAAACCAACTCATACACAAAGATATGAATATGTCATGTTAATGTTAGACTTCAACACTGTAGCAAGTCAAAATCAATCTGTTTGCAAAGCTGTGACCAAAAAATACTTCTAAAATACACTTTCTTTTTTAAAGAAACACAAAGGACAGCAGATAGTCTTTACCACATAGAAGAATTTAGAAATCATAGACTTAAAAAAATCCAGACAAATAGGAAATAAAATGAAGACACAAAAAGAGAATCCCAATTTCAGGGTTCATGATAATAAACTTAAATCAATAAGGAAGAATTTCATAGGGATTATATTAAGAAAAGAATGCTTCAAGCCCTGATTACACAAAACATAAGAACTAGGCATGATGTCACACACAGGTAGACTCTGGAGGCCAAAATAAGAGGATCACAAGTTTGAGATAGGGCTAGACTACACTGCCAGATTCTGAACTGAACAAAATCATCCAATTTGGTTAGTTTGATTCCAAACCAACTAAAATCAAGCTAACTAAGAAAAACAGAAGATTGACTTTTGGGGAGAAACTTTTGTTTAAATCATTCTACACTCCAAAGCTTAAATTTATATTTACAGTCACAAATTGAGCCAGTTTTCAAAGAACTTCATATGTTTTATTCAAACTTAAAAAAGTATGGTTTATTTATGAGTGGGCACATGCGTGTGTACCTGTGGAGGTCAGAGGGCAACATGAAATATACTTTACTCAGGCATGCATTGTAGTGAAGCTGGCAATGATTCAACATTAATGAGCCAACAACACAGTGCCTTTAAATAGAACAAAATAAAACAAGATTGTGTATTGATTAACTGATAAAAAATGTTATTGAAGATCAAAGAACCTAACTTTTTCTATTTTCCCTGGAAGTACTGATTCGGAATTCACTTAATCAATGTTAATAATGAGTTTTAATTCCATTCATTCCTCAAAAAAGTCTAAAGTTGCTAAACATAGGTAAGCAGAAAACCAATGCTTCTTACTACCACAGCCAAATAACTCAGACTAGAACATCAAAACTCTAAAGCTGGCGTTTGGTCTTCTGAGCACATCTTGAGCTGCGGTGGTGAAGTGAACAGCTAGAGCACCCTCTACATCTAAGACTATAGCAATGGTACTCACTTTGAAGAATTCCAATTTTTGCTTCTTTCTTATTAAAATCTGGTTGACTGCTTTGTTGTTTCAACTTAGATAAGACCGTCTTGTGAGACCTAAATAAAACATGATAGTTTGTGACTAATTCCAGAAACTAGTGAAGGTACAGAAGGAAAATGATGTCACCTTTGCAATAGAATCTTCTACACTGGCCTGACTCTCTTGTTGCTCTCTTTAGTGACCAATGTTAGTTTTTAATATTTCTATTGTCAAACTTTCTTTTATTTCATCTTTTTACTGTTCATCTACTCAGAAAGCAAGATTCTATCAGTTTTCCAAATAGACTGAGAAGGAAAAACAAAACAAAAACAAAACAAAAAAGAACCCCCAAACCCTACTCAAATTACAAAGAATTTATTTTCCTTCTCTCCTCTGGCCTCTAAATCATTTTCTGCAGGAGAATTTTCAAAATTTCTTTATTTGATGGTAGATCATGTGCTTTTCAGCATCCAAGACTTTTTCTTTTTTAAAAAAGGTAAATTTATACTGGAAATAATGGACGTGGCATATTTTTCTTCAACAGCCCTGATTTTATAAAGAAGCAAATTAGAACCTAAAAAGCAGTGTGCCTGAACTTACATAGGTATTTTAGCTATACTCTTATCCACGAAAACATTCCGCGACTAGCAAATTCTTTCTTACCTTTTCTCTCTCCTAAAGTGTTCTATTGTATTGCATTATATTCTTTAGAAGGCTATTCTCAAACTCTTCACCTCTAAGTCTAGCCTCCATCCCCATTGCTGCTCCACCTTGGAAAAATAGTCCTTTCCTCTGGACCTTTTCAAGAGGAACTAGCTTAACCTTCAATCTCCCACAAGTCACAGTGCTCCAAACAAGTGTTTCACCTTGTTTTGTTTTTTTTTTTTTTCCCGGTGTTAGGGAATGCATCTGGGCCCTTACACATGCTAAGCAAGGGCTCCATCACTGAGATTTATCACCAGCTTCAGTAGTTTTTATTTCTAATAAAAGCTACTCCAGCTTCCACAGAAATCTCAGCCACCCAGGAATGCTACTGATATCATCTTTTATCATATCTCGTTTCCAGTCTTTATCCTTCCAAGAACTTTACCATTCACCCATCTTTCTTATAGCTAGGGGTGTGGTTACGAATTATTTTAAGTAAGGCATTACGGTGCATGCCTGTAATCTTAGCACTAAGAGGCTGAGGTAGGATAATGAGTGAAAGTTTGAAGCCAGCACAAACTTTACAAAGTTCCACACTAGCCAGGGCAGCATATTGAGACCCTGTTCCCTTTCCTCCCCAGATATAGATAATCTAATACAGTGTTTTTACGGACAAATCCTATAATCTTGGATTCTTACATCCTAATCACCAATCCTTTCCACACTAAGTTAGCCAACCCTTCCCATATATCCACTCAGCAAATCAATTGATATTTCTATAATAATTTACACAGACTTTCTGCTCTTTGGACATGTTAGATTGTCCTTCACAGCATTTATAGTAGATCAGAAAGAGTTTCTGCAAATAATTTCATATAATTGGAATATGGGTGCTGTGGGAGCTCCTTCAGCCTTTAAGATACCAGCTCAATTGGGCATGTTCTCTTATACTATAAATGCAGCTGTAAAGTGTGTGTTCACTCTCTTCTCTTGCTAAACAAAGATTCGATTCAGAGTTTTTGTTTTGAAAATAAGGGGGGGGGTGCTGTGGAACAATGGTCTTGTACCCTGTCACTTGTATTGTTTTTAATAAAATGCTGATTAGCCAGTAGTCAGGCAGGAAGTATAGGTGGGGTGACAAACAAGAGAATTTTGGGAAGGGGGAAGTCTCAGCCTGAAGCTATCATCTAGAAGCAGAGGAAGCAAGATGAAAATGCCTCATTGATGAAAGACACCAAGCCATGTGGCTAACACAGAAAAGAACTATGGGCTAACTTAAGATGTAAGAGTTAATAAGAAGCCTGAGCTAATAGGCCAACAATTAATAATTAATGTAGATCTTTGTGTGTTTCTTTGGGACTGAACGGCTGCAGCACCAGGCAGGACAGAAACTTCTGTCAACATATGGAAACAAAGAAAATGTAGCTTCTAGCCCTTCCTGTTCTAGCAGGGAGTCTTTGTTATAATGACAGAATACCAGAACGAGCACATATGCTCCTTATTTGTTCATCAATAGTCTATTAGAAACCATGCAAAACAACCCTAGATTCCATATCAAAGTCTTTATAGCTAGAAATTCCAAGACATTTCAGGGTCTTGAGTATCTATTCAGTTAGAGGTCTCTGAGCTGTATCTAATTATACCATTTACGTGCCAACTTTAACATATTTAAATCTACATGAATTGCATTCATCAGTGATTTTAGGGACAAAGAAAAATGTCACTTTACCTTATTACGGATACTGTATTCATGAAGGATTCAGTTTCTGTACACTGTTGGCCACCAACACTTTAAAAGAAAAAAAAATTCTAAGAATATATACAAATGGATCTCTGTATAAGAGAACTACTTGGCATAGTCAAGACATATTTCAATACACAAGACCATCCTGGTTGAATTAAGGACTTACAGAATCCATTAAAAGGTGGCCACTTTTTGCTCAGATGTGATTGAAGAGGTTACAAATCAAACTTTCCCAAACACAAGTTAAGCACAGTTAATATTGCAACCAAGAATCTTCCATGTTTTCCTTTAGAAAACTCCTATTCCATTAAGTTTTCTTTTAACAGCTTTACTTGAGCACAACTGATACATAAAAAACACAAGTGTTAATGTATATAATTTGATGGGTTCAAGTTTGTTTCCTTATCAAACATTTGTCTCAAACTGAACTTTTGGGGATGTGGTAATACGCAGGAAGTGAGATAATATATAACTCAGACAAGACTCACTCATGCCCCTCCTGTTTTAGTCTTTCATGTGCTCTAGCATAAAAGTCATGCACTGCCACATCCACTGAAGTTTAGAAACAAAACAAAACAACACCCCCCACCTTTTTGATCTCACTAAAACAGCATCAAAACCACAACATGGCCATTTTCAATTCTATTCCTCCAAGAGGTCCATTTCTCTTTTCTGTGTGTTTTACACACACGCGCGCGCGCACACACACACACACTCTCTTTTGAAGATAGGGTCTCATGTAGCCGGGTTGGTTTCAAATTTGCTATATAACCAAAAATGACCTTAAACTTCTTTTTTTTTTTAATTTATTTATTTATTAAGGATTTCTGCCTCGTCCCCACAACCGCTTCCCATTTCCCTCCCCCTCCCCCAATCAAGTCCCCCTCCCTCATCTGCTTGAAGAGCAATCAGGGTTCCCTGACCTGTGGGAAGCCCAAGGACTGCCCACCTCTATCCAGGTCTCGTAAGGTGTGCATTCAAACTGCCTAGGCTCCCACAAAGCCAGTACGTGCAGTAGGGTCAAAAACCCACTGCAATTGTTCTTGAATTCTCAGTATTCCTCATTGTCTGCTATGTTCAGCTAGTCCGGATTTATCCCATGCTTTTTCAGACCTAGGCCAGCTGGCCTTGGTGAGATCCCAATAGAACATCCCCATTGTCTTAGTGTGTGGGTGCACCCCTCGTGGTCCTGAGTTCCTTGCTCGTGCTCCGTCTCCTTCTGCTCCTGATTTGGACCTTGAGATTTCTGTCCGGTGCTCCCGTGTGGGTCTCACACACACACACACACACTCTCTTTTGAAGATAGGGTCTCATGTAGCCGGGTTGGTTTCAAATTTGCTATATAACCAAAAATGACCTTAAACTTCTGTTACTGTTTCCAGCTCACAGTGCTAAGTATATGTTACCATTCCAGGTTTTATACTGTGCTGGGAATCAAATCCAGGGATTTGTGCAAGATAGGCGAGTACTCTACCAACTGAGCCATACCCCTAGCTTCACATATAAAAAAATCTTAACCAGTTAGGCATACACACCCTTTAATCCTAACATCTGGGATCTCTGTGAGTTTGAGACCAGCCTAGTCTACAGAGTGAGCTCCAAACCAACCAGGGCTACATAGTGAGACAAAACAAAACAAAACTTCCCTTCAAGGTTATGCTCAAAACTAAAACCTCTACCTATCTTAATGACAATATCTAAATCTTTAGATTAGTAATGAACTATGGGTTTTGTGCTATAGTTTATTGCCTATAATTCTTATTACTCAAATGGCTTATAAGCTGTATTAGAGAAAATAGTCATCTCCTTCAGTTTTATAGATGTAAATTTTCAATTTTCCTGGCATTTGTCTACCCTCACAATCACACTGCCAATGTCGCACCTGCTTCAGTCGCATCCCGTCAATTGCTGTCCTGCTATTGGCCATCTGATGTTGACTCTTCCTGGTTTAGCTTCCAGAATGGACTTTATATTTGTTTACCAATTTCAATCCTGTCTCTAGTTTTGACTTTCCTCTCTGTAATTAATACTCAGTCAAATTTTTATTGTGTGTCTGGCAATGAGTCAGGCATGAGAGATACTGAGCCACTTAAGATGTTCAAAGTTAAACAGAACCCTTCAAATAGGTCTGCACTACAGCATGCGTGTGCTTGCATGCTCTTGCATGCATATGTACATACAGACACACAAACAAAAAACCCAAAGCAAATAAAAAACTAAAAATAACAAAAAAACTTCAAAGAATTATTAGTCTTATAATAAAGAGATAATTTATTTCCACAGTTAAGGGTTTATCATGAATGCATGACTTGATGGCTTGTACTCTGAGAGCACAGACCTAACAATCTAAGCAGAGAGCTGAGCTAGGCAAAATTTTCACAGGTGATGGTTGAGGGAGATTCTGAATAGAAAATATGAGCTTATACTGAAGAGAATAAAAATAAGGGAAGGAGGAACTAAGAAACTTTTCCAAGAACAAATGATAGTATTTGAAGGTCAGAGAACTCTGTTCTGTGTTGTTAGACAGTAAAAAGTAGGAGGACAAAGCAGATAATGTTTAAGTACTCAGCAAAAACAATAAAGACACCAAAACCTGCAAAAAAAAAAAAAAGTCCTTTTCTTTCCTTTTTTTTGATTTAAAGAGTTATTTTTTTTATGTGCATGCGTGTTTTGCCTACATATGTATGTGCTCCATGTGAGATGGTGAGAAGAGGAATCAGATTCCTTGGATCTGGAGTTACAGAGAGTAGTGAGCTACCAAGTGGTTAACGGGCACCAAACCTGTGTGCTTTGCAGAAGCAGCAGATGCTCTTAACTGCTGAGCCACTTCAGCCCTGACAAAGTTCTTTTTTTCCTTTTTGTGTGTTTGACAGAGTCTTGCTGTGTAAATAGACCAGGCTGGCTCTGAACTCAAGATCCTCTTGCTCTAGCCTCCCAAGTGCTGGGATTACAGGGATGGGCCATCATGTTTACTTTAGAATTTTTTTCTTTTTTTTTAATATTTATTTATTTATTATGTATACAATATCCTGTCTGTGTGTATGTCTGCAGGCCAGAAGAGGGCACCAGACCTCATTACAGATGGTTGTGAGCCACCATGTGGTTGCCGGGAATTGAACTCAGGACCTTTGGAAGAGCAGGCCTTAACCACTGAGCCATCTCTCCAGCCCCCTAAAATTTTTTTCTTGCTGGGCGGTGGTGGTCCATGCCTTTGATCTTCACACTCAGGAGGAAGAGGCAGGCAGATCTCTAAGTTCAAGACCAGACTGGACTACAGAGTGAGTTCTAGGACAAACTTCAAAGCTATAAAGAGAAACCCTGCCTCGAAAAACCAAAAAATTGCTTTTCATAAAATTTAATGGGTAGAATACTGTTCTGAGAAGCTGGATGAAGTAATGTACATCATGTTATTCTAGCACTTGAGAGTTGAAGGTGGTTGAATCAAAGTTCAAGGTCACCCTCTGGTACATCACTACTTTTGTACTTTGTGGTCATTAAGTAAAATAAGGGTTTCTTAAATCCAAGTACCACAATAATGCATATGTCAACTAATAACTCAGATAACTGAAATGAGGATTGGGAAGGCTGCAAATACAGTAGATATCCTGGTCAAAAGTATGACTTATATGACTCAGTTGTTAACATAGAATCATGAAACTCTTAGGTAAATGATGAAGCTTAAAAAAAAAAAAAATCAGCCTGAGTGAGGTAATTCAGACCTAAAAGATAAAATACCATTAGGTACTCACATGTGGATGTTAGTTGTTAAGTCATTATTGATAAGCAAGCTACAATCCACATCACCACAGTGGTTATGTAGACAATAAGGGACTGGGGGAAGAGGGATGGATGGATTCCCTAGAAAATGGAAATAGAACAGTTATAGATAGATAAAGAGAAGGGGCTGAAATTGGATGATCAAACAGAAAGGGAGAAAAAAGAGGGGGGAGGGAGAGAATATTGGAAGGAACAGCTAAAACTAAGGGCCATTGAGGCGTCACATGGAAACTTCATACAGGAGTAGCTTTCTATCACAATACACATATATGACAGTGGTCTAAATAAAATCATCAAATAACAGGAGAGACACAGCCCCAAAGAATATCAACCAAGTATCTCGTCACCAAATGATGCTTCCAGTACTGGAAATGGGTTACACTTAATTGAGATGTTGGTCAAAGGGGTCCCATGGGAACCCCGAAACAAACTAGGCTGTTGGTGACTTTCCACAGACAATAAGGCCCTATTGCTAAAGACAATGCCTACACAACTCAATGAATATGGAGAGGTCAAACTGGTGCCTAATAGAGGCTTTACCCATATTGACTAACGTTCGTAGTACTGGAGTGCACTCTGCATGCTACCAAAGAAGAAAGGTAAAAGCCAACCCAGCTACAAATCCTTCAATCTACAACCATGACCTTCCTGCAATATACACCGGTACAACAGTTGCTCAAAACTTGTGGGAGTAATCAATCAACATCTGATTTGAGTTAAGCCCACTCCATGAGAAGGAACCCATGCCCAGCACTGCTTAAGTGATTAAGAACCTGGGACTAGATAGTCCAGGGACCTAGGAGGAAAACAAATACTACTGTTCTGCAAAAGGAATGTAGCAATAAAATGACACCTAACAAGATTCTGCGTTCCTCATGACCTGTGTCTTGCTTAGCCATCATAAGCTTCTTCCTGTAGCAGCTGTGAACAAATACAGAGAGCCACAGCTAGACAATATACAGAGGGAAAGACCTTAAAACACTCAGCCTTAAAAGGGATGTCTCATCAAATCCCTCTCTTCAGGGCTCAGAGAATTATGTGCAAGAAAAGGTAGAAAGTGTTTGAGCCAGCAGGGATAGAAGACACCAAGGAAACAAAGCCTTCTAGACATCACAGGGCTGGTGTACATATAAACTCCAGAGATTGGTAGCATACATACACAGGGCCTGCGTGAGTCTGTATCAGATGGCATCCTGGTGCTGAGAGGGGAAGTGGACACATACCCCTTATCACTAACCAAGAAACTATGTACAACTGATAACCACTTGAAAATAATAAATTAGTTTTCTCTAAGGGGGTCTCATTGGGGAAAGAAACCATTCTTACGGGTAGGCTCCATGCCTAGCAGTAGATGGCAACATCAAAATAATTCAGCAGCATCTTTGTCTCATAATGCTAAGTCAGGTGCTTTTTTTCCTTTTCTATCTTATAGGTCCTTTGTGTATATATTAGGGCTTCTGGTTTTAGTTTTTATGTGGTTCCTTGGTGTACAAAAATGTATCTCTGCACCTGTATGTGTTTCTTGTGCTTTTTCTTTGGTTCTTTTTCTTGTTTGGTTGTTTTGTCATATTTATTTTTGATTCATCTCATTTTATTATTATTTCTTAGATAATATTATTATTTCTTAGATGCCTGTTTGTTTTTTAATGAGAAATGGAAAAGGATGTGGATCCGGATGGGAGGAGAGGTGAGGGAAGAATTGGAAGGAGTAAAGGGAGGGGAAACCATGATTAGAATATACTGTATTTTTAAAAACCTATTTTCAATTAAAAAAAGTATGTTCATATCCTGCCATTGGTTCAATCTATAGTACTGAGAGCTAAAAGTTTTAAGTTGGGAAGAAATTTAAACATTTACTTTTGCAAAAGTAAACCCTGGAATTCACTTTAAGGATGTATTATGTGGAACCAAGCTATATTATAACCTTGGATACAAATCGTCAGATAAGGATTTCTGAAATGGAAAGACAGTGGATAGATGAAGTCAAGGAGAGTCAAGAGTATAGAAAAACAGATGAGACCACGAAGGGCTCTACTTCCCACTCTGTACTATGTCTGTGTCTAGGAGACTTCTGAGATGATTGAGTGGGGCTACATAAGGAGAACAAAGCACATGAACTTACTTCCAAGAACTATAATTTAGGTTTTAATTCTATAATACAGCACTACTAACATTGAACAAGGAGGCTTAAGTTACATGATATACTGGTCTCAGGATCATTTATTTTCCAAATATAATACATTAAATAGAGCCAGAATGAGATATTTAATTCTCAAAATGGTTTGTTTATCAATGACAAAATAGGACTTTAGTGCAGCCTTTGAGATGAATGAGGAGCAAACCATGCTCTGATACATAGGAACAAAAAGGAGAAGATTCTGGGATGATTTAGCCTTAGTCCTAAAGGGTTATAAACAGTCACCTTTAAACAGTAGTTAAGATAGCATCCTTGGAACTTTAAATATTATGTGGGCTACTAAATCCATTTGTCTAGAAATCAAAAGATTTTAACTACCTAGCTTTGGGTTAAGTGTACAGTAACAAAGAATTTATCATGGGTTAAACACAAGAAATCTTGGGTTGACAAATGGCTCAGTGGATAAAAGCACTTGTTCTGTAAATCTGATGATTTCATTTCAAATCCCAGAATCCATCCTGAAAGGAAAGAACCTACTACCCGAAGCCCTCAAACATTTACACATGTACTATGGTGCACATATGAATGCATACACACACACAACAATAATAAATAAAATTAAAAAAAATAAGAATCTTTATAATGGTCAAATTTTATCATCTTCAGTAGAGTTAGCTCAAAAAACAAAAGTGCAATATTTATCCTTAGAGTCTTGAGAGATGGCTCAGTGAGTAAAGGTTACTGTTTCTTTTCTGCTAAGCTCGACTACCCAGAACTCATTACCTGGGGCCAACATAATAGAGAGCCAGCTCCCACAGCTTGTTCTCTGACACTCGCACACGCGTACACACACGCCAAAATGTTAACCTTCTTCCCGTTCCCCACCTGGGTGCTGTGGCATATTCTGAGTGTAGCATCTGGGTGGTGAAGGCAGGAGGATCAGGATCTGTTTCAAGTGAGCCTCAGTGACTTAGTGAATGTTTGATCAAGGGCAGCATCAGTTACACAAAAGCTGTCCAAAAGAATAAAACAAAAAACAAATACCAAAAAAGCGCCGCCCCTTGGCTGAGGATGTAGCTCAAACAAACAAAATTCCTAAAGCAAACCGACCTTGAAGATACCTGAAAATAATCTGAGACTGTTACTACCTCCCAACAGAGAGGACTAACTAGGACACTCCTTCCAGCACTGGAGCCAACTGCTGCTTTTTTTTTTTTTTTTTTTTTGAGTAGAGCACAATATCCTTGAAAAACATAGAGAAAAGTATTTTAAAATACTAAAACGTAATATATACCAAAGGTAAGTAGAATCTGAGCCCAAATAAGAGGCAAAAATGAATCAGATTTCTAAGTGCAACCCCATTTCTTAAGCACATCTTCACTAAAAATAGTAAATAACTCTATACACATTAAACTGGTATTTTCGCTCCTTTCTTTGCTTAACATATACTTCGTGTAAATCCTGAAATAATTCTATAGTACTCCAAATACTCAAGCCCATCAATTACTCAGTTATTACTTAATAATGGCTTGCTAGCATCACCTATGTTAAAGACAAAATAATCCTAAGAACTTAAAAGAAATCAAGAGTGTACAAACCTTTCTCCTTTATTCAAATTAACTTCAGTTTCTGTTTCAGTATTAGTAGCATCTGGCTTATTCTCAGAAGCTAGTGTCCTTGCTTTCTCATTTTCCACTACTTTTGTTGCTGCCTTTAAAAAGGTTGAATATGGAGGGGAAGGAGAAAAAAGAATACACTAGGCATTTTTAAACAAGCAACACAATCTTTGAGAGCTGTAGCAGAGGAATCTATTCACAGGCTAACAGAAGGTATCACATTATTTTCACAATTCTGATGATGCTAGCAACTCTAGGGTCTATTGCTTGGCTTATAGATATTATGGAAGGTTTTTTCTCTTGTAAATAAATTTGATAGAAAGGATGGTCTCCAGGCAATCTTAAACAAAATTTTAGCAGCTGAAGACAAGTGTTAGCTAAAGAGCTTCTTTTGCTAAAAACAAGTTCAGCTCCTGCATCAGGTGGCTCACAACTGCTGCAGGGAATATGATGCCCTCTTCTGCACACATACACACGTGTACATATCCATGTACACACCCAAAGATTCTGAAGTACAGTTACCACAAATTAATGATGCTATTCCACTTTAGTCACTAACTTAAAATTCGGGTCAGATTTTAAGACTCTCTCTTTCAAGTCCTCTCCTTCATCATTACATTCTCTTTCCTTGAGATAATGTGTACCTTCATCAGAAAAGTTGATGATTTTTCATTCAGCACACAATCCACATAACTCTTAATTTTCTCCATCATGCAGTTATAGCTGAAATGTTGAAAAAAGGAGTGGAATGCATCTTTCTGAGAGATTATCCTGAGTAATTTCCTTTCTAAAGACTAAAGAAAAAACAGAAATGTATTAACACAAACCAAATTTTAAATACTGATTAAAAAAACAATTATTTTGTAAATATAAACTCAAAGAGATACAATTAAGAGTTATAATTCTGCTTTAAAAGACCCATGTACTGTCTTCCTTTAAAATGCCCCCACATTTCTACATGTTTTGTTTCAGACACATAGGAGGGAACAGAGATTATAAACTTAATTGCCTACTACCCAGACATATAAATATGTTGTACAAATAACAGTATAGTTTACTGGTTTTAATTTTATTGACAGATGTTGGCATGCATATGTGATGCATGTCTTCCTCTACTGCTCCCCACCTGATATCTTTAGACAGGTTATCTCACCGGACCTGCTCCTCACTGATTATTGACAGGCTAGCCACTAAGCCCCAGTGACCCTCCAGTCTCTGCCTCCCAGAACTGGGATTACATGTACCTGCTACCATATCTGGCTTTTTATGTGGGTATTGGGAATCTGAGTACAGCTCTTCATACTTTTGCATAGAAAGCAATTTACTTCATTGCAGGATCTGTGAAGTCCTGTGGCTTTAATCTTATACAAATAGCATCATTTGTAAAAAAGTGATTTTTCTGAAACTTGTTATATTTTTCTTAATTCTATGTTCCTGGCAATTACTTATGCTAATGTATAGGAAGAGTTACTTGTACCAGCTGTCTAGTATATGTACCAATCATCATTTGTTCATTTAGTTGCTTGAAGAACTTAGGTTATTTGCTATTACTGCAATGCTCAACCATTTTCTCTTAATCCTCTTGTGTTCAATATAAATTTTTCGTATAAAGTAGTTGTCTCAGTGCTGGACAAACAATAAATGCTATAGAACATGAAGAAACTGTAGTCTTGATCCTAGACAAATTGTCTCAATAAGATCTGGGTTTTTCCTGTTTGTTTTTAAAGCTTCATGGCTTTTAGAATATATAGGAAACTTAAGTTATTCTAAAGTATTTAACTAGAAATGGAACTCACTGGAATGTGTGCTTGCATGTTTTGCCTTGACTCTCTAATGCACCAATTTATACTTCAGAGAGGAAGGTATGCAGGCATCTAAGCACTCTGCCATCTTTTAGGTCAGTTGTTGCTGTTTTAATCAGTGAAAAGTGCTGCCAGTCTTAAAGTATGGGAAACAGTTCAGTGAGTTAGTTGGCAATGTCCTACTGACTATGCCAACACTAGAGAAGGTGAATACTTTCTCCTAAGTGTATTTGTGTACTGGCTGTAAGGTTTCCTCTGCTGAGACAGAAACACAGTAGAGTTTTCATTAACCTAGCAACACTAAGATGAAATACATGGGTAGGAAATCCAACAAAATCATCAGGCTCTCTGCTGAAATTTCTGGGGTATTATATCCAGGGAGAAGGGTCAAACTAGTTATTAATTATGCCAACTAGACCCTCTACTCTATCTACTAGCACAATAAATAGCATTCTGCCTTCAGTAATTTTCAGGCAAATTAAACCCAATATGACAGTACTATTTATTTGCGAGAAAAACTAAAATGAAAACCACAGGTAAGGTCTATAGGGCAACTGTTGTTAACTACTTTGGAAAACTATAGGCAGCACCTACTAAAATTGAAGGAATGTCATTTGATAAGTACAAGTGAGTATGTCTAGCTATTTATTACTCAGGAATTTTACTCCTAAGCATACAATGAACAAAAGTGCATCAGTCTGCTCCACAAGACCTATTAACGTACTTTACAGCAAAGAATAAAATACCTTAAATGTCCAGCACAGGAAAGATAAACTACGACCTACTCATACAACAACAAAAAGAGGAACAAACTATTATAATCACAACCTTGTATATAATTCCACTATAAAACAGACTTTTAGTTGGAGAAGGCTGGTTAGTAGTTATGCTGGAGAAGACTTCCTCAAATGACAAGATTTGGATGAGGTTCTAGGTTTTTATTTGAGATAGTCTCAAAAGTATCTCCCCCCCCCCCTGCCCCAAATACCTGCCTCAAAAGATTTCTCTCTCACCACCCCCATCTGCCTCAGAAGGATCTGTCTCTCACCACCCCCCCCCCCCCCCCCCCCGTCTCAAAAGGATCTCTCACCACACACACACACACACACACCTGGGCTTGGATGTAGTGTCACAGGTCTATCTGTACTATCCCATGCCTATCTAACCTTTCTTGTTGATGGTGCCAAAGACCAAAGGACTTGCACATTTGAGGCAAGTGCTAGAGTCCACACAGAGCTTCATTTCTAGCTAGCTAGTTTCCTGATGTAGGGGCTCCTCATACAAGTCTCTTCCTACTCAAATACCTAGAACACATTATTTTCTTCTAGAGGTATAGATGTTCAATAAAAAAAATTCCTAAAAATGTAAGATTATGCTTTCTTTGAAGATATTTAATTTACCCTAACAACACTGTTTTTAATAAAAACAACCAGAGGCCTACTGACTATATTAATATACACAGACAAACTATAACTCCAGCTGGGTGTGATGTTACACTCTTGAGATCCCATCTCAAAAAAAAAAAAAAAAAGCAAAAGGGAAAAGAAAGTACAGAAAAAGGGGGAAGGCCAGTAGTATATGTAATCCTAGTAATTAGTGGCAAAGTTTTGAGTTTTAAGTTTTGGATACAGAACTGAATTTTATCTCAACCACACAGCAATAAAAATCAATCATTCAATCAATAAATGAGGAGGTGGGGGATTCTAGAAAAATAAGCAAGTTATATTTCCTCTCCGTACTTATGCTGCCTAATGTGGCAGCCACCAAACCGCCAATATAGTTTCTGAACCCTGGAAAGTGACTATTAAGTTGAACATAGTGCAAATATAAGTACTTGATAGATAAAAGGGTAAATGAATACTAAATTTTTGTTTTGATTATTGTTAGAATTTTTTTAATATATTGAGTTTAGTAAATCACTTTTTTTCTCCTTCAATTTTCTGTTTTCCTCACCCCTTACAAACAGTTGTAAAATTAATTCTATCGCTTTACTATAAATAATTACCGTGTGAGATTCTGGATCACCAAATATTCTTTCAAACACTTCTTCTGCTTCCTTAAAGTTGCCACTTTCCATACAAACAGCTACAGCCTTAAAGATGACATATACAAACCTTAAATTGCTTTTTAAAATGTCCAACCATTATTTGACTAAGTGCATAGATAATACTGAAAGACATCATTTTAAACATTTTTATGCATTTTATTTGAAAAATTTTTTCAATGATGAAATAATTATGGCTTAAAAAGTTAAAAAATTCTCTCTAGTTCTGTACACATTTAGAGTCTGTTCAGCATCTCTAAGCAGTAATTAATAGACTGGAAGTTATTATTATTATATCTGGAAATATACCGCTCCCACTGCCCATTTCCATATGCTCTACACGGTGGAGACAGCACACTACCCCCATAGAACTGTTGTGTGAGCTGCAAACCACAGTGTGGCAAAGCAACAACACACTAAATGCTATGGCACCATCTCAACTGTCTAGTAGTGTAGTGAAAGCTTTCTTTAGGGCTGAAGAGATGGCTCAGAGGTTAAGAGCATTGGCTGCTCTTCTAGAGGTTGCGAGTTCAAGTCTCAGCAACCACATTGTGGCTACAGCCACCTATAATGAGATCTGGCATGTAGGCATACATGGAGGGAATGTTATATACATAACAAATAAATCAATTAATTAAAAAAAGCATAATTAATTTTTTAAAAAAACTTTCTTTAGCATCGCAAAGATAGGGAAAACATGAAAAATCTCTTTTTTCTAAGTTGAATTCTTACAAGAAGCAGGTGTTTTTCTACCCAATGTCACATCTCCAGGTCCTAATTTCATTTGACAATCACACTAAGTAGGATACTACTTTGGGTCTCTCTCTCTTGGACAACTTAGAAAAAATTTTTTTACAAAACTTCTAAAGCTGAGGAAAAATTTATTGAACAAAGGAAATATTTGCTTTAGCTGGAAGGTAGATGTTTGACTTTTCTGCTTTCTTATTCTTAAGCAGTCTACTGTAATTCAAATCTTAGCATGGTTAAAATTCTACATACTCTTGTTCACAAAAATCCACACACGGCATGCATGGCATGTGTGAGGTCTTGGGCTCAATCCTCAGAACCAAAACCAACACCCCATAATAAACAAGCAAATCATAGCACCTGCTACTTCCCCCTAATATTTATAGTACTTAGGTAAAAAAGAGGAGAGCATGAATCCTTAGTTTTAAAGTTTGTTTGGTAATATTCTAAGTAGCTACAGTGCTTCCTACAATCTGGAGGCAACATACACCTGAATATAAAACATTAAGTTCTGGGCTTGGTGCTCATGTGAAGACTATAGTCAGTGTTCTAAATAAAAAGATGTCATTAAAATTCTCACTAGGTTTATACACAACTTCTGACAGGTTATTTTTATTCTGGATGTTAGATGTTTTCATATTTGTGACAGTTAATATTCAGTCTCCATTTCTAGAACGGACTAACTGAGAAGTGAAGACCTACCCTGAACATCGGCAGCACTTCCATGGGCGAAAATTATGTTATGGGCTGAACAAAAGAAGTACGTGAACACTAAGCATTCATCTCTCTCTGCTTCCTGATTCGACACAAGATGACCAATCACTTTACACTCCTATGCTCTGCCTCCCACAACATGGACTGCTACCATCTCAAATAATAAGCTAAAATAAATCCTTCCTCTCTGATTATGTTTTCATTTTTTCCTCAGAATTTATTTTTCTTTATGTGTATAAATCTGTGTGCATGCGCATGTGTGCAGGCGCCTGCAGAGACCAGAACAGGGAACTGGAGTTACAGGTGGCTGTGCACTCCTACTGTGGGTGCTGGGAACTGAACTCAGGTCCTCTGCAAAAGCAGAACTGCTCTTAATTACTAAACCATCTCTACAGGCTCTCCCTAAGGTGTTTTGTTTCACCAATGGGCCAAGTAACTGATAGAGTATTATAGCAAAACAAGCACAAAATAATATTCATACCTGAATTTTAATTAAATTCTGTATTTCTTCATGAAGTTTGTCATGTTCCTTTTCAATTGAATCCCAAATCATCAGGGCCGATTCCAAGGGTGTAATACATTCATCACTTTCAAACTGTGCATCTTTTAAAACAGAATAACTGAAAGTTAAGTAGAAACTTCAAAACTCGATTCATTTTCAAACTTATCAACTATATTCTACATGCCAGGCAGTCTTCATACAGAACAGTTTTGGCAAATGATTTTCTAAGTTAATTTGTTTACTATATATATATACACACACACACAAAGGAAAAATAAAACCACTGAAATTATAAAAGTCAGAAACTTTTTATTTATTTTATTTATTTTTTTAAGACAAGGTCTTGCTCTGTAGCACAGGTTGGTCTCAAACTCCAGTTCTTTCTGTCTTGGCCTCCAGAGTGCTGGGAATACAATGTATGCAATACCATGCCTGGCTACCATTTCAGTGTCTTGAAGGTAAAATGCTCTTATTCGATCATACAACTAAATTTGAAATTTGGGGGGCAGGAACCATTTACTAGTTATATTCCTCTAAAACTCTAGTTTCCAGGCTGTTTTGGTTCATTTCAACTCAACTAAAAAAATCTATGAGTATATTGAAGAGAATTTTAAAATCTGGGTATAATTTCATACACTAAATAGTATGTCCATATTAGCAGTTTCAAGGATTTCATACACTAAATGGTGTGTCCATATTAGCAGTTTCAAGGATTTCATACACTAAATGGTGTGTCCATATTAGCAGTTTCAAGGATTTCATACACTAAATAGTGTGTCCATATTAGCAGTTTCAAGGATTTCATACACTAAATAGTGTGTCCATATTAGCAGTTTCAAGGATTTCATACACTAAATAGTGTGTCCATATTAGCAGTTTCAAGGATTTCATACACTAAATGGTGTGTCCATATTAGCAGTTTCAAGGATTTCATACACTAAATAGTGTGTCCATATTAGCAGTTTCAAGGATTTCATACACTAAATGGTGTGTCCATATTAGCAGTTTCAAGGATTTCATACACTAAATAGTGTGTCCATATTAGCAGTTTCAAGGATTGCAATTTTCTGTTGGCCTCTTTTGGCATTTCTAATAGTTCAGATTTTAAATAATTATTAATTTATAATTCAAGTTGTGTTGCGTACCTAAGATACAAACACAAAGAGAAAACCACTACACATGGCGACTCAAGTCTACAATCCCAGCACTTCTGAGGCTGAGGCAGGAGCATCACTCACAACTCGAGCCTAGCCTGTCCACAAAGGATGCAGCGTGGACAGCCAGCACGACTGGCACTTCCTAGACGTACACTCATTATGCCACTGGCTGTTTGCTCTACTTCAGAATCATTCAGAGATTCTCAAATATACACGGATGACTAAGTACATCTGGAAATTGTTTAAACTCTAGAATATGACCTAGGGAGGCAGTTCAGTAGAGCACTTACTCGGCACACATGAAGCCAAAATGCTGTAAGAAGAAATAACAAAAAAGATAATAAGAAAATAACCAAGAAATACAGACAGGATGAAGAGAACGTCTGAGAAAGCAGAGATGGACTATAAGGCAGAGAGATACAAAAGACATTCTTACAAATAAAGAGAGCTTATCAGGCACCTCTCTCTCTGAAGTAGGACTACACCTAGGAGAGAGGCAGATACCAGGACCCTTAGAGCCCACTTACTGTGTGTCTCAAAGACCAGTTCGTCTCAGCAGACGGCATGATCCTGTATCCAAAAGACCCTAATAACTCTACAAAACACTTGGATTTGATAAACACTTTTAGTGAATTAGCAGAATATAAAATTAAAATGGTAATTTAAAAGCTTTCCTTTTATACCAATAATAAGTTCATTGAGAAAGATACCAGGAAAAAAATCCTGATTACAATAAAATAAAGTTCCTAGGATTAAAGCTAACCCAGGAGGTGAAAAATCTGTGCAATGAAGAATTTAAGGTATTGAAGAAGTTGAAGACACTAAAAGATTAAAAGACATCCCATACCCCCAGATTGACAGAATAGTGCAAAAATGGCTATCGGTGTGAAAGTGATCAACAGATTTAATTAGTCCATAGGAATTCCACTTACGTTTTTCATAGAACTGGGAAAAAAACCCTTAAATTCAAGTGTAAGAACAAAAGACCCCAATACAAAGCAGGACAGGCAAAGTGACAAGGATCACATGAACCCATTCTAACTAGGAGCACAGGTGGGAAGTGTAAATCATGTGCAAAGGACGAGGAGCAGGCACAGGAGCAAGGAGAATGAGGCACACCACAGTCCTGAAGAGTCTCCTGAGCTACTAATTTATACTTGTTCCCTGTTTTCTTTTCTGGCTTACTTTGGATGAGGTTTGAAGATCTGGTAGAATAGGCAGTATTTTACAAGAGGAAAGGGGAAATAAGAAAAGTTTCTTATGGATTCCTTGACATTGGGTTGGTAGGCTAAAAACTAAAGAAACTAAAAACACATGACTGGCTTTTCCTCTGTATAGGGCATCTGCTGAATTCTGCTGCAGTGTAGGAGGCCTGGAAAGTCTTAATCTTAGATCTTAGGAGATAGTCAGGCATGGTGACACCTGTAAGTCCCTGTGCTCAGGAGCTATGGCAGGAGGACTAGGAGTTTCTGGGCAGCCTGGGGTACATAAAAGTGAGTCTTTTGAGATGAGAAAACCTGTCATAAACATTTTTTCTGCTTGAGATGTCTTATTTTACAGCTCTGTGGGGCTGGAGACAGGACCCACTATGGCAGCTACTACCTACTTATAAGCACTTAGCAGTTAAAATGCAAGTAGTCCAGAGAGATATCCTTTAAGCATAAAGTACTACAGCATAAGCTTACTACAAAAAATAAGATAGCTCATTAACATTTTGTACATTACTTGTTGGCATATTTTAAAAATATTAGATTACTGGATTAAACAAGATAACGTTAAAATTAACTCTACTTCCTTTTAGTTGTCTTAATTTAACTACTAAAACATCTTAAATTTCAAACATAGACCATATTTCTATCAGGAAATATTTCTTCTATTTACTATAGAACACTCACTGAAAGGTCACTGAAAATGCGACACATAAATTAAAATGAAGTTGTTTGGGGCTGTAGCTTGATGGTGGCATATTCACCTGTTAGTCAAAGGCCCTAGGTACATGGCACTGCAAAACACAAACAAACAAAACCCTAAACTTTAACTACTATCTCCTTTGAATCAATTATGAGACAGTGATTCTTGTTCGCTAATCTTTGTGGTTTTTCATCTAAGATATATATTCAAAACAGAATCCTGGTACACTTAAGGATTTAGCCATGGGGTCAGGATGAACACGCATGGCTCAGCTGTACAGCATTTGACTAAAATGCACAAGACCCTGAGTTCAATCCCCGTCTCTGTAAAAATGAACAAGGAAAACAAGTCAACCGCAAGTTACTCACAAAATCTGTTTTTATCCCTTGAAGGGAAGATTACCTGAAAAAAAACTAAGATATAAAGAGTAACTATTATGTGTAAAGCATAGCTAGGCAGTTTAGAATAATCTGCCACATGATTTATAAAACCACCCAACTAACTACAATATGTTAAGTCACAGTGTGCAGCCACAGGCTCTAAGCTACACATAGCCCTCTCTTCTGCATCTACTCTAACCCCGTCAGGTAGTAGTTTCCTTCTGGTTCAAACACTCCACCCTAGAGGTAAGTGTATAAAGATTCAGTAAGTAATTAACTCAAAAGCCCCAGGAAGTCCCTGAAACTTACCAGATGTACAAGTCTTTGCCCTCCGCCCGCTCACCCCCCCCCCCCCCAATAGCTATAGCTATGTAGGAACCACTCAGGAGAGGAGACTCCCTAACTGCAGAACTGACGACAAGTTACTCAGAGAGCTTTCCTGAGTTGCCACTCATGCTGGGCTGAGGTGTTGGTGGTGTGACTGCCTTTGAGTTGTCCATGCTCTTGTAAGTAACTACAGTAAACCCTGGTTCACAAGGTAGAATATGGTATCAGTGTTACTTTGGTTTGTCATGGGTCCCCTATTTCAGGAAATTATTAATCTCCCCAGGAATAATATCAGACAAGCTCCTAATTTCATTCTCCAAATAAAGCAGGCTACAAGGCTCAGGGATGGTTCAGTATGATACTAATATTCTGAGAGTATATATATTTTTATAAGTAAATAGTTTCATGCAAGTACTGCTCACCAGAAAGTATTAATGGGAAAGTATTTTGTAAATTATAAAACGAACTAATATTGCTCATTATAATCTAAGATTAACCTGTCTAAGGGAGACAGATTACAACCACAAACTATGTTTTCTTGTATAAGGACAGGCATCAAGTTTAAACAGCTGACAGTAAACAGTGTATGTGTTGTAGCTGTTATCACTAAGTTATACAAGGAAACTTCAAATGACATCTCCAGGAGTCTAGGAAGTGTAGTCCGCCCCCTGTAACATCTGAATCACCTGGGAGCTAAACTCATGGTCAGGCAGAACGGCTTCATTGTTTTAAGAAGCCCTTTAAATAATATGTAGCAGGCTAAAGTTTGAGAGTCACAGTTCTACAAAGATAAAACTGTATTTATTTGCTTTAGATAAGCTTATGTGTATGCCAACTGCAGGTAGGCAAACCTCCTCTCCCCCAGCCAAAAGGAAATACAGTGTTCATCAGTTTCTCATGTCTTATATTTAGTCATAAGTTAAAAGATTCTAATATAAAATAAAAATTTGTATTTACCAAGAGATTTTCCTGCTGCAATTCTTGTCAAAAACTGACATATATATACAGTTCTCAACTGGTAAGTTGTAAGACTGGGTAGTCCATGAATAATAGCTAAAAAAGAAAAGAAAGAGTTCATTAAAATATTATCACACCCTAATAGCAACAATACAATGTTAAGTATTAGATTATAAACACTTAGGATGGCTATTCTTGGTTCTCAACTTGACTACATTTGGAATTAACTAAAACCAAAAATGGATTGACACGCCTATGAATGATTTCTTTCTTTCTCTCTTTTTTGCTTAACTGAACCATCTGAAGTGAGATGATCCACTTCCAATCTGGAAATTAGGTGAGAAGACGAATCTTTGATCCAGATCTTCTGAGGTGGGAAGATCCACCCCTAATCTCAGCCATATGTTTTTCTAGAATATATATAAAGGACATGGAAGAGGGAAGCTCTTTTTGCCAGTTTCCTCCCACCCTCGATAAACATTCTTTTCCTGACATTAGAGCCTATTTCTTTGGGATTCCAGCATATACTGAAGGCCATCTGTGACATCAAGCTCATGGATTGAACACTTACTGGATTCTTGGACTCTGTACATAGGCAGCCATTGCTGGATTAGCTGGACCACAGTCTGTCAATCATTCTAGTAAATCCCTTTTCTATGTATAGACTTATTATATATATATATATATATATATATGTATGTATGTATCTTGTTAGTCTAGAGAAGCTTGACTAATAAAACACTCAACAAAAACTGATCATAAATTTAGAACTATACAGTCTTTTTTTTTTTTTAAGTTTTTCGAGACAGGGTTTCAGCGTGTAGCTTTGGAGCTGTTCTGGAACTAGCTCTGTAGACCAGGCTGGCCTCGAACTCACAGAGATCTGCCTGCCTCAGCCTCCCAAGTGCTAGGATTAAAGGTATGTGCCACCCCCGCCTGGCAGAACTATAGATTCTAATCATTCAATTTCTTAAAAATCAGAAAAAAGTTTTGTAATATAGTGTTCTTACACAATGTAACTCAGTTGTGAAATACTCAAAATTGCTTTTAAAAAGTAGTGTATCAAACTACGACTTTGAAATTCATACTATAAAATACTTTATATTATAGGAAATATACATATGTCAAGGTTTCCACTGAGTTTGTTCAATTAATAAAAATCGAGTTTAAAAAATTTATTTCTCAAATATTTGAATTCTCACAAGGATGCACCTGGCAGTGAATGTGCATACTGGTGAGTGAACCATATTCCTGGATCTCTCACACGCAAGCAGGAGGATAAACTTGGCTCTCACTCTGCAAGTGCTATAAAACTTTAACATTTAAACAGAAGGTTTCATTTTTATTTCTCGTGCACGTCTGTCTGTGTAATACGTGCATACAGTGCATGCTGAGGTCAGAAGAGAGCATTAAATACCCTGAATGGAGTTCCAGACTGCCATGTGAGTGCTGAGAATCAAGCCCAGGTTTTCTGGAGGAGCAGTTAGTGCTCCTAACTACTGAGCCAGCTCTCCTCACTCACCCTCTCCCTTTTAAGAAAGGCCTTCCATTGGTCTGAAGCTTGCCAAAGTAGGCTAGGCTGGCTAGCCAGTGAACCTTGTCTTCCCAGCACTGTGAATACAAGTATGTTAAGCTTTTTCTTTCCTTTTTTTTGTTTATTACTTTATAAATAATACCAATAATACCAATCAAAATTTCCACTTCCTCCCCACTCCCCTTCTCCACCTCCAGTCCTAAGAGAGGGCAAGGTACCCTGCCCTACGGGAAGTTCAAGGCCCTCCCCCAGATACACTGCTCTTAACTTAAAACAGCAGGGGTAGTTGAAATTATGCCTCCTGTTTGAAAAATTGCCAGCTTGGGCATCATGATGAGCTGACTCTTCAGAGCTCCAGGCACAGAAACATCCAGAACTGTGCAAGACGTACCCCTTCTTTCTATGGGCCGACTAGGTCAGATATATGTTACAGCGACACAAAGCTGACATGCGCTGCACACGTAGGAACGAAACAGGAGTTCACGGTGACATTTCCAACTCTACCTTGTCAGCACAGAGTAACCGTAGCCTATTCTCAACCACAGCATAGGGAAGTGACTTCGTTTCAGGACTTCATTTTCTACTTAAAGTTACCTACCCACACCACGGCTCCAACTTTATCTGTGAGGAAACTTTCCTAAACACGGATCTGGGGCACCCCTCTTAACCTACTGGCACCTCGGATTAACCAACACTTCTCTAGAAATAATGAGTATTATTATAGCTGGGATGCAGTCTGTCAGTATGGCTTGATGAGAATTTGCAATTAAATATTACATTTAGACTATAAATACACCTGGTCATAGTAACGTTATCATCTCCGTCGTCGTCTGGCCAGGTCTGGCTTATTATTGCCAGGGGGTTTGCAAATTTACATAATTGTTCCCGGGAGGGAACGAGACTGCTGCTCAAGGAACACCTGGGTGGCCTGGGCCCGAAGGAGGCAGTGGGAACCCAAGTTCTCCATCTTCGCCCATTCGGTCCTGCGGTCAAGCCCGACAGGGACACGGAATGGGGAAGGGGTGGGGGACCCCAGCTCACAGGAGCCGGTTTCGCGTGCCCCCCACCCCGGCTGTGCGCGGCCCGCACCCACCTTCCGCGCTGTCTCGAGTCCGACGGAAGTCCTCGGAGCGGCCGTCGCGGAAGGCTCGGCACAGAGAGAGGCAGAGGAAGTCGAGCATCCAGCCGGCGGCCACGGCCTCGGCCTCGGCCACCATCTCCGCGTTCTCCTCCTCCGGGACCTGCAGCTGGCGCTCGGGCAGCTCCGCGTCGCCTCCGGTCACCTCCTTCTCTGGACAGTCCGCATCTTCCCGGCCCGCACAGCCCAGCGCGCTCGGGGCCGCTAAGGTGGCAGCCGCCGCCATGTTAAAGCGAAAGCGGGCGGGGTGCCTCAGCGGGCGCCGGGCGCTAAATGGCTCGCGCTGGTGCGGAAGTCAGCCAATCGCATCGCTAGGGTGGAAGGCTGGGTCGAGCGTAGCTTCCGATTGGCTGAGACCTGCTAAATAGCCTGTCAGTCTGAGGCGGGGCTTTCCCTGTAGAGGAGCTGCTGGGGATAGGAGACCAGCCTGGTCTACAGAGCTAGTTCCAGGACAGGCTCCAGAAACCTCAGAGAAACCCTGTCTCGAAAAACCAAAAAAAATAAAAAAAAAAATAAAAAAAAGGCATGCGCATAGTTGAGCATATATACTTTTGTTGTATGATAGGGCCTCTCTTGGGTATATTCCCAAGAGTGGTATTGCTGGGTCCAGGGGTAGGTTGATCCCGAATTTCCTGAGAAACCGCCACACTGCTTTCCAAAGTGGTTGCACAAGTTTGCATTCCCACCAGCAATGGATGAGTGTACCCCTTTCTCCATAACCTCTCCAGCTAAGGCTATCATTGGTGTTTTTTATTTTAGCCATTCTGACAGGTATGGTATCTTAAAGTTGTCTTGATTTGCATTTCCCTGATCGCTAAGGAAGTTGAGCATGACCTTAAGTGTCTTTTGGCCATTTGAAGTTCTTCTGTTGAGAATTCTCTGTTCAGCTCAGTGCCCCATTTTATAATTGGGTTGATTAGCCTTTTACGGTCTAGTTTCTTGAGTTCTTTATATATTTTGGAGATCAGATGCCCTTCAATGGAAGAATGGATGAAGAAAGTATGGAATATATACATATTAGAGTACTACTCAGCAGTAAAAAACAATGACTTCTTGAAGTTTGCGTACAAATGGATGGAAATAGAAAACAATATCCTGAGTGAGGTAAGCCAGACCCAAAAAGAGGAACATGGGATGTACTCACTCATATTTGGTTTCTAGCCATAAATAAAGGACATTGAGCCTATAATTCATGATCCTAGAGAAGCTAAATAAGAAGGTGAACCCAAAGAAAAACATACAGGCATCCTCCTGAATATTAACCTTCATCAGGCGATGAAAGGAGACAGAGACAGAGACCCACATTGGAGCACAGGACTGAAATCTCAAGGTCCAAATCAGGAGCTGTTGAACTCTAGCGTCCAAACACCGAGAAGGAGTCACCCCCAGAGACCATCTCATACACCACAGCCGATGCAAAAGCATGAGGATTTTATTAATTCTGTCATGACAGGGTCCCCCAGCATTTGGGAAGCCGAGGGACCCCGAATAGTGGGTACAGTCTACTTTTAAAGGGGCCACAGAAGCAAGGGGGGTTGTTCTTTGACTATTCTGATTGGCTTATTTGAAAGGACTATTACCAATAATTGACTGGAGAGCTGTTGCCAGATCAGATGAGGTAAGAGGTCATTTTGACCCCGTTTCCCAGGGGACCGAACCAAAGCATACGTATATGGGTAATTGTTCAGGAACTGAGTACGTGCGAGTGTAGCTGTTAGGTCCTTGGTTCCCAGGGGAGGAGGGGAAGCACTATGGCACAGAGGCTGAGAGGATTCAAAAATGGCTTCAGGATTGTCTTAAAGTCTTACAAAGCAGAAGGAAAGAGAGCACGAGCAAGGAACTCAGGACCTTGAGGGGTGCACACACACACTGAGACCATGGGGATGTTCTTTCGGGAAGTCATCAAGGCCAGCTGGCCTGGGTCTGAAAAAGCATGGGATAAAACCGGACTTGCTGAACATAGTGGACAATGAGGACTACTGAGAACTCAAGAACAATGGCAAAGGGTTTTTGATCCTACTGCACGTACTGGCTTTGTGGGAACCTAGGCAGTTTGGATGCTCACCTTACTAGACCTAGATGGAGGTGGGTGGCCCTTGGACTTCCCACAGGTCAGGATTGTCCCTGATTGCTCTTTGGGCTGATGGGGGAGGGGGACTTGATTGGGGGGAGGGGGAGGGAAATGGGAGGCGGTGGCAGGGAGGAGGCAGAAATCTTTAATAAATAAATAAATTTAAAAAAAAAAGAAAAAAAATGCATGCACAGTGGTGCCCGCCGCCTTTAATCCCAGCACTCGGGAGGCAGAGGCAGGCGGATCTCCGTGAGTTCTAGACCAGCCTGGTCTACAGAGCTAGTTCCAGGACAGGCTCCAAAACCACAGAGAAACCCTGTCTCGAAAAACATATATACATACATTATATATATCACAAACTGCAGGGTTCTGCTTTGGAGTTTTCTAGAGTTCTGGCTGGGGTCAGGGGTCAGGTCTAGTGAGTCCCCACTGATGCCGAGCCTGCTAGTCTGAGGACCTCTGCTATACAGTGTCCGCATTAACTGTGAGGTGCATTTGCACGAGGCACCGGAATTACAATAGATCTTGTGTGATAGTTACTAAATGTCCTTTATAATCATCCACAACACAAGTCCCTGAATGTTTATCTTGGTTTGGATGAAGATGGGCGATCAGGTTATTTTTCTTTTTAAGTATAGTAGATTCACTTAGTGAAGATTTACTGAACATGATTTGTGCACTGTCGGGTACCAAGGAAGCCAGGGACAAGTCTCATGCAGTATGAGTGGCTCCTCCCAGGGTTTCTCATCAGGCTGCAGTACCCTAGGCTGAACAGCTTTCGGCAGAGCCTTCACTGGGGAAACCCTTCCGCACCTGAGCAGAGTTGTTACATTGGGGAAACCTTTCACTGAAGCAGGGCTGTAAGCAACTATGTTTTGGTTACTTTGTGGCATTCCTTGGCTCCTGACTGCAAAGAACCCTTTCTGTCCTAGAGGCAATGATTACAGCCTTTGTTAATGAAGAACATAGATTATTCCTACCCAGGGAATAGGGATAGCTTATATTTAACCAAATATGAGCGCCAATGGCCTGAACACAGACTCAGGTTGCCCGATGGTCTACTGTGTGGAAGTGATGACATGAACTTTAATGGTCACAAAACAAAAGGACATCCATGAGTCAACCCATTTACCAATCATTGGAGAAGACAGGCAAGAGATGGGTGTCAGGACATACACGGTCCAGAAGCAGTCCTGCGAGGAGGATTCTGAACACTGGGGGAACACTCCAAGAACACAAGCATCTTGTGACCTCACCTTCAAAGCATGGAATTGTTCTTGGAATGCATCTTTGTGCTGCTCCCAGGTGTATGGCTGCTCCCAGGTGTGATAGGAGTGAGTTTACTTCAGATTACTCATTATTGCTTGCTGCTGTTATTCAACTAATGTTTAAACTCTCCTTTATGTGCCTCTATGGTGAAATGTATTTTTGACAGATGTGACTTGTCCTTGTGATTGTATATAGCCTGAACTCATGAGAACTTTACTTTCGTGACTTTTCTCAACCCTTAAAGTATAAATTGTCTGATTCCCCAAATAAAGTTGGCTATTGCATAAGACAATATCAATGGTGTTATGGTAAAACGCCGCAGGTCCCCGAGTGGAGACAGTGGGCAGCAGGCACAAGACCATGGCAGGACATGAAGGCAGCTGGTCCCAGGCAGGGAACTGCGCTGCGGGTGAGAGACAGATTCCTATTAGGCACGCCACACAGAGAAAGAGAATATTTATTTAGTGGGTTATGGAGGAGAAAAGGAAAGGGGGGAGGGGAGAAGGGAGAAGAGGAGAGAGAGAGAGAGAGAGAGAGAGAGAGAAACAGGGAGAGAGAAAGAGGAAGGAGAAGTGGGGAGAAATGAGAGAGGCAGTAGCTGCCTCTTCCAGAGACAGACAGAAAAGAAGAAACTCAGGTTGGAAGTGGAAGAAAGATCTGCTTGACTTGGTGGGGGAGGGAGTGGGCAGGGCTTGTCTCTTAAAGGGACAGGACAGAAACAAGTAAACAGGAAGTGTGTGAGGCAGCTGTGATTGCAACATGACATAAAATCCTGTTTTGCAGTACTTTTTTGTAAGTAGAAGTAGCACACTAACATAGTGATAAAAATTGTACCAAGTAGGGACTGGAGAGATGGCTCAGAGGTTAAGAGCACTGGCTGCTCTTCCAGAGGTCCTGAGTTCGATTCCCAGCAACCACATGATGGCTGACAACCATCTGTAATGAGATCTGGTGCCCTCTTCTGGCATGGAGGTGTACATGCAGGAGGCACATTGTATACGTAATAAATAAATCTTTAAAAAAAAAATTGTACCAAGTAGAGTTACTTACACACCTATAATCCCAGCACTGGAGTTGGTAGAGGTAGATTTGTTGAGTGCCAGCCTGAGCTACTGATGAGGTAGGAGGGATGGTTAGAGCCACTTTTATATTCTGTGTTATAAGGACTCGCATGTACAGAGGAATTTGCAAACCTATTATTATTAGCTTGACATGTACCTACAGTGAAACTTCCCTAGCCCAGATGCCCTTGGAGGAGTGTACAAGGTTGATGGTGGTAGACATTGTCTTAGACTCAGCATTTCAGTGAGTACCTGAGCCCAGACGTCTATGGAAGGATGGAAGTGTGTAAGGGATGACGACAGGAGACATCCCGTGTCTCAGAATGCGGCTGGCCACCTGGTGGTAGGGACAAAACTGAGCCCCGAAATGACTGCCTGCTTCTGACAACTTGCCAGCTGAGTATTCTAGAAGGAGATGAGACGGTAGGCAGTTTTAGAGTGTTAGCATGCTGCCTTCCCAGATTACTGTCTGCCTGAATAATTCACATCTCATTGGCTTTCGTGGTGATGGGGATCAGGAACTCTGGTATTGGGGTTACACTGCACAGTGTGATCCTGTCCCCCTGAAACAAAAAGGTAACACAATGAATGCATAAAATGGTCACACTCTCAGTTGGCACCAAGTATTGTGGGCTACATATTGTCTTTGATAAGCTTTTATGTGACCAGAAGGAGTGTCATCATAAATTCAGGAGTAATGCCCTCCTTGCATCATGTCATTGCCACGGTGACAGCACCAGGTCACAGAAAGTTTTCAGCTCCCTTATATTTCTAGAGTGACAATCTCCCTCAACAGGCCCACCATTGGCTGAAATGTTTGACACGCATGGCAGCAAATGGAAGA